CTGGGAACTCACGTACTATCGGCACATCATCAACAGAACTAGGCCTCTCCGCTGCTACTCGTGTGTCCATCACGTAGGCCACAAACCACTACAGCCTTGTTGTAGACTCTGCCTCGCTCTAACAGCCGAACAGAATGCTGACCCTGAACGGGTACCCTCGCCGTACACCGTAAGAACTCCCCCATTAGGGTCTCGTATGGTCACCAACTGTCGCTCGCAGTCGATAACCACTCCAAACCTGCTCAACCAGTCCATGCCCACGATGACACAGACATCTCCCATCGCAATCGGGACCAAATCAATCGGAAACTCAACGCCGAAGATCTCGAGTACACATCCTCGGATCACATCAGTAGCATACACCGCTCGCTCGTCGGCTATAGAAACTCGTAGAGGTCGACTCAACGCCTCTCGCTGAACACTGATGTGCTGACTAAATGCTAATGACACGAAAGATCGACTCGCACCCGAGTCGAATAACACCAACGCAGGTACAAAACTCACAAGAAAAGTACCTAAGCATAACACAATATAAGCACAAAATCTCAAACTCAAAATAGGTAAGTAAAAGAATACATACCTGCCACGACATCGAACGATGCGCGGACCTCCTCCGATGTCAACTGGAAGGCTCTCCCGCGAGCCTTCGGTGCCTCGGCCTTCGCTGGCCGGACCTCGATAGCTCTAGCAGCAGGTGTAGACCCCTGTGCTGATCCTTGTAGTAGCTGAGGGCACTCGACCTTCCGATGGCCGGTCTGGTTGCAATGAAAGCAAACCGAGAATCCCTTGGGGCAATCCCTCGCGAAATGCCCCTCCTTCCCACACTTGTAACACACCCCAAACTCTGCACACCCCCTCGTGACTCTTGCCGCACTTCCCACAAGTGCGGCCCTTCGGACCCCCAGATCTCGAATCAGCGGGCTTTGCCCGCTTGGCTGCCGGCTGCGCCTGTGCCGGTCGCCTGTCCCTCTTCTGAGACTCAGCCTCCTCCCTGACCTGAGTCTCCAGCTCAATTTCTCTTTTCCGGGCATTTGCCTGAAGCTCGACAAATGTCCGGTATGACGAGTTCGCCACGAACTCATGGATATCCCTCCTCAGTATGCTCAAGTACCAACTCATACGTGCCTGCTCAGTCGACACGTGCTCAGAGCAAAACAACGCCCTCTCGTGAAACATCCTCGTAATCACCGTCACAGACTCAGTTCCCTGCTTGAGGGATAAGAACTCCTGGGCTAGATGTTCCCTCTCCACAGGGGGAACATACTCATCTCGAAACATCGTGGTGAACCTCTCTCAGGTCACCGCAGTAAGCTCTGCCGTAGTGAAGTCTGCCGTCACAAACTTCCACCAATCCTTCGCTCCCAAGCGAAGCTGGTTAAGCGCAAACCTAACCCTCAGATGCTCCGGACACGAGCAGATGTAGAAGCATCCCTCGATGTCAGAAATCCACCTCATCGCAGAAATCGGGTCCTGTGTCACATCAAACTCTGGTGGCTTCGTGTTGCTGAACTCTCGGTACAGCAACGAGTCACCTCCCTGGGGCCTGGTAGCAGCGACAGCTGCGGTGGCCGCAGCAACAGCAGCCTCAGTAAGAGCAGTGTACCGCTCATCAAAAGTCTTGATCAGCGTGGTCTTGATAGACCCGAACATCTCTGGTATCTCAGCTCGAATGGCCGCAGCCACCTCCTCGTGAATCAACCTACGAATCTCCTCATCGCTGGTACCACTGGTACCACTGCCTCCTGGGTGGTGGCGCGTCCCAACCATGATGTCTCTAAAATACAACACAAAAGAATCAGAGACTCGTTCGAGTATACTCGCACTCGATACTCAACCCTACTTGTTCTTTAGTACCCTGAGGATTCTTACTTGGACTGCTCACCGATCCGGTGTTTCCAGTAGTACGGGCCCTTATACTACCTTCCACAACGCATCGGTATTCACCCCAAGTCCTCCTCCTAGGATCCCAGATCACAAGTACTCTATATCTCACTAAACTCAGGCTACTCTCTGGTAGACCACTCATAAGTTCCTCGCTGCTACCTACTTACTCTCGAAGTATCTCATAGTAGCAGTAACTCCTAGGCTAATGCATCATAAATCAGGCCCACTCTAGTCCTAACCATGAATACCTAGCCTACTCTAGCATGCATAACATATCATATAATATCTCATAACACATAATGTAAGGGTATTTTGGGAAATCACTGTTCGGGCGCTGGCTGATCGTACACACTGCTCCGTTCCGCTTTTCTCAAAAGTCCTTTACTCTTTTGGAAAAATTGTTTCTTTTATGAAAAATTCTCTCAAATCCTCAGTTTGAGTTCAGATACGCCCGGAGGTGTATCCGAGTCTCTCAAACCAAGGCTCTGATACCAACTTGTAACGACGTAAATTTCCAAAACAATTTTTCATTTTAAAAACATACTCTCATTCATAAAATATCATAGTAATCCAATGTAACACATGTTATCTCAATAAACAAATCCCAAGATCCTCAAATACATAAATCCTCTCAGTGTGTACGGATCATGTCGGCGCCTTCCCGCGATCCTCGCTAGTACCTGAAACACATAACACAACAACTGTAAGCATAAATGCTTAGTGAGTTCCCCAAATTATCACATGCAACACATACGCCACTCGAGGCTACAATACGACCCTCCGGTCGATGTGTCTCAGCGGGACCCTCCAGTTCCGTAGCTCGTTGGACCCTCTGGTCCGGTCATAGCTCGTCGGACCCTTCGGTCCAGTCTGTGTCGTTGGACCCTTCGGTCCGGTCTATATCGTTGGGCCCTCCGGCCCGGTCTGTTCAACACATAGCATACATACAACACAATGCACATAACTCATATATATACACATAGCATACAAGACCCTCTGTTCTACACATAAATACCACTCTAGGTAATGTATAGTGAGAAGACTCACCTCAATGAAGTCGGATAAACTCTCGTGCTCAACGTCCCGACTTAGCATCCTCCTATTATTCAGATAACATCCCCGATCAATATTCACTCATGATCTCACCTCTACAGATTGGGTAGAAGGCCATTCTACCCTTCCCTGAACTCTCCTGAATCAGTCTTGACCAGAACCCTAAAGTCAACGAAAGTCAACGGTCAACTTTGACCCGACTCGTCGAGTGCACAAGGGCGACTCGGCGAGTCCATGCGGGTCCTCTGAATCCTTTCAGCCTCTCTTGGCTCGTCGAGGCATCCTTCCACTCGACAGGTTACACCTGTCACGAATCGCAGGGCAACCCCGACTCGACTCGTCGAGTCCACTTATGGACTCGGCGAGTTGCCTCCATGTTCATCCTCAAATGACCTCCTAAGGTCAGATCTGCTTCCCTAACTATCAGATCTACCCTTCAAATGTTCAAATGTCACGTAAAGGTGCAACCTTTACGTGCATGCAACCCACAACAAGTCATAAATGGAGAAATAACTCTAAAAATGGCAACCCAGTCCCCAATCTTTCATTTGCTTGCATAAAGCTGAGGGATAGTGACTCTATGGACGTCTCATGGTCCAGATATGATGCTATTAACACAAAGGGATAGTGACTCTATGGACCTAGCATCATCTTCAGTTTTTTTTGCTTCCAAACTTGCTTGCAACAGAGATTCTTGAAGCTTATTCATTGATCTTAGCAAACCCGGAATGACAGCCACAACCCTACGACACATGGGCTCATCAAACCATGCAATGAAACCGCAACTGTTAGGACATTTCCAAAACCTACGCCCTGGGTTGAGATCCGTCCATGATGTTACTATCACCACTTGCCTTCCACAAAAACAATTTACCATTGTTAAGCGAAGTTTCTTAGAAAACACAGAAGAGAGAAGAAAGAAGAGAGAAGAGAGAATAGAGGAGAAGTAAAATAATGGGGATCTAATTTTTATAGGGAAAGGGAAAGTCGTATTGCAGATGATATAAAGATATGAGAGATTGTGTAATAAAGCAAAAGACCAAAATACCCTCGTGTGAGGGTCACATGATTTAGATAAACGGCAGCAATCAAACGGAGTCAGACATAAGGACTGTCCGTGCAACAATTGGGAACCATAGGGACCATACTCGTTCAAAATTCCTCATAAGGACTATCTTTGGTCTCTTGTGCCAACCACAGGGACCATCTGTGTAATTTTGTCAAAATTAAGACTTGAATACGTATAAACAAAATTAATGAATCCTATAGATAATTATATTTAATTAATTATAATTATTTAATTTATATCAAATATATATTTAATTGATGAAATTTACTATCAAAAGTCAAAACTTTTAGTTTCAAAATATAGGTGTTACATTATTTATGTTCTTTTTTTAATAAGGGGATAACATTTATGTTATCATGTTTAGAATTATCAAAATGTTAAAGTATTTACATATACTTGAAAAATAATAAATTTCAATTAATTATATAATTAAGTTGAGATGAAATATATATATATATATATATATATATATATATATATATATATATATATATATATATAAAAATGCATAACATTTTCACGTATAATTGAAAAAACCTTATTACGAGTATTATTTTTTTGTTGGCTCTGACTACAAATTGGACGTAGGGTTATCACTCTAGTCCATTTAACGATTTTCATGGTTAACCTGTTAATTTTTTTACAAAATCAGTCATAAAAGTTCAAATTTGGTCCATGTAGTTTGCAAAAAATTACACTATCTGAAACTCGGTTTTATATTTTTTTAATTATATATCATTTTAGAAAAATAAAAAATTGACAAAACTGCAAATTTGGTCCCTGTGGTATTCAAAAAACTGTAAATATGGTCCAAAAAGTTTCAAACTTACTTGAGAGGTCCAAAATCATGAATTTTCCGTGGTTTTGGTCCTGGACAACTTGGAAAGACTGTTTTACCTTTTTATTTTTTTTTTCCATTTTTTTTTAAATCTATACTAAGATCTTTTCTATTTAAAGATGAAAAAAAATTAATCTACCCACCCATCCCCACCCGTAGCTATACATTTCTCGCTCTCTCTCTTTCTCTCGCATATCAAAAAGATGTCAACTTCATCGCCCCCATTCCCGTTAAGAATCCCTAATGGCTTCAACAACTTCATCCGAGAAAATCCCATGTCTGAAAAATTCTTAGTCAAATGATTCCACCACATTGAGTTTTGGTGCTCCAAAGCCACCAACGCCGCCTGTCGTTTCTCTTGGTGCCTTGGCATGCCCATCGTTCAGAAATCCGATATACCTACCTTCTTCGCTACGACCAACTCAACTTCCTCTTCATTGCTCCTTATTCTCCCATCTATCTTTGCCGCCGCCACCGCTTCTATCCTGATGTTTTCCCACACTGACTGCCTCAACTTCACAGGATCCCACGGCCTCATAATCTGCTCAGTCGCCATTGAAGTCGAAGATGTCGAAATTGCTTTCTCCGTTAGTGTCTCTCACTGCGTTTTTCCCTATTTTGCCCTAATTTTCCTTGAAAATAACGACATCATACTCTCTGAATTCGAAGAATGGATTCGGAGATGTATTGATAGATGAACAAATTAAGGAGTGTGAGGAGTTGGGAATATTAGTCGATAGAGATATCAGTGGACTCTACTTCAGATCTTCACGAAGCCTGTGGGTGACATATATGCCCTTCTTCATCAATACTCTTAAACTCATCAAATTTTCTTGAATTCATTATCAACAGATTCAATAATATAGAACTTTGACTTGTATATTGATAAATTCCTAAAATTTGTGATTGTTTTTTGTAAATATCTGAGCAAGCTAACCATATTCATCAAGATAATTCATAGAATTAGGTGAATGGTGAAAGATGATGAAGGCAAGGTGCAGCAGAAGGCAGGGTGTGAAGGATTTGACAAGGGAACTTCTGATTGCTACTGCTTTGATGTGTATGATCTCGAGGAGGAGAAATTAGGTCCAGGATTGACCTGACAATGGATTTGATGAAGTCGATGACGGAGGAGGCGTCGCCATCGTCTTCGGAGTCAATTGAGGTCGATGGTGGGGGTGTGTTGTCGGTGTGTGTATGCGTGTGTGTGTGTTTTGAGTTCGTGGTATACACTCTTGGGTATGTGTGTGATCGAGTTAAAATGGGTGTGTAAGTGTGTGTGTTTTGAGTTGTAGTTGTGTTTGTTTTTTTGAGTTGTAGGTGTGTGCTTTTTTATGAGTTGAGGTGTATGTATGTATCTGTGAAGTGTTTGTTTAAGCTTCAATGTGTTTCGACAGTGAAGAAGACGAAGTGTATGTATGTATATGTGAGAGAGAGAGAGAGAGTATTGTGGGGTTGAGTGGTGGCTCCCATTCTTTTTTTTTTTCTTTTTTAGTATTAAAATAATTATAGAAAAAAGAAAAAAGAAAAATAAAAGGGCATAATTATCTTTTCAAGTGTATTTTTTGGACCAAAATCACAGAAAATTATTGATTTTGAGTTAAAAAGTTTTTAGACTTTATCCACAGTTTTTTGAATATCACAGGACCAAATTTACAGTTTTATCTAAAAGAATTCATTAAGAGTATATTGATAATTTTACATGAACCTAACCTTTATTTTGTAAGAGAGTCAAAATAGACATCTAACATAATCATTGTGTGCTAAGTTTTATCGAAATCAACCACTAAGTTTTGTAAAAATAGACCCTCATACAAAAAAAAAAGTTTCATAAAATCTGTTTTAAAAACCATAAAGGTCTTTTGTGAAATTTTATCTATAATTTATTATTTTATTAGAAAGGACCAGTAGTCATTGATGGAAATTGAATGGACATACGGGACGGGACATAAGAGATTGAGACTTTTAAAGGTACATAATGATCCAGTGGGCTTTTAAAGTTAATGTGCTACTCACATGAATGGTCTTAACTCTTAATGCCTTGTATCAACAAGACTTTGGTTACAGCGACACCAATCATCGTCAAATTGCAGAGTCGCCATTGATCATCTCTCTCTCTCTCTCTCTCTCTCTCTCTCTCTCTGAAACACACAGTATAAGATACAGAGATAAAGGATGGTAAGAGAAGTATCGGAAAGCTGTATGGATAGCTTGTTAACGGAGATTGTATCGTCGTATTGCAACCGATTCTACGCCAATAAGCCGGAGCTCGCTGCTCGGAGAATCGAAGCAATTGGTTACCAGGTCGGCCATCAGCTCTCTGAAAGGTACGTAAATCACCTAACACATACACACACAAATTCAATTCAACCTCAATTTGTATATCATATCGCGAAATGATTCTATTTATTAAGATTGTAGGTCAGTTTTGTTGGGTATTGGTTATGTTTCCTATATCTGTATTTAGCGATCCAAATTTGCTCACTCTTTTGACTATCAGTTAACATAAACTAGGGTTCTTTCCAATTAAACTACCTCCACAGATATTTCATATCACCACTCTAGGATTATAAACTGTTGAATTAAGAATTTTTCAGGATTTTACATACATACATTTAAATTATAGAGTGTCTTGTTATTAAAATCAATCTTCTTATTCGTATTTCACTATGAGATACCTTAGTATGTCGACAAAAAAACAGTTAGGCAACTGAAACATAGGGTGATACACCAGCTCAAAACAATATATATTGAACTCATCTTAGAATTTTGGAAAAGAAACCTTTTATTAAGTGTATGTTGAAACTTGAAACCAATAAAATCATCCAAATCCTAGTTATATTCTATATGTAGTATTATAGTCATTGAAAATGGTGAGTTTTGATTGTTTTGTCAGGTATACAATGGAGCGCCCAAGGTTTAGTGATCACCTAGAAGCAATCAAGTTTATCTGCAAGGATTTCTGGTCAGAGCTCTTCAAGAAGCAGATAGACAATTTAAAGACTAATCATAGAGTAAAACTTCATATCCCAAGTTCTACAACTAAAAGTCATTGTTTTAAATGTTTAATTTGGTGTCCTGTTGGGTTTTTTTGTTACAGGGTACATTTGTATTGCAGGATAATAAATTCCGGTGGCTTTCACGCATGTCAGGAGATCCATCAATGGAGATCTCTGGTGCTTCTCAAGATCCTTCTGCCATGTCTGAAAACAAAGCAGCACAAGCAACAGGCATGCATCTTTACTTCCCTTGTGGAATTATAAGAGGAGCACTTTCAACTTTGGGAATCCCTTGTGCTGTTTCAGCTGATATTTCAAACCTTCCTGCATGTAAGTCTCCAAGTGCCTTCTCTGTAAAAAGAAATAAATATTCAGTATATGATAAATTATTACAATCACATAGACTAAATTTCTTAAAGACAAGATAAACGAATCTTGTGAAATCCAAATCAAGATCATAAATCATTAATTGTTTGTAATGTTGTTGAGGGGTTTTTTTCAGGTTCGTTTGTGGTGCGGATAAAGGTGTAGGGATGAGTAGAAGAGTTTATAAAGTAGGCCGAGAGGTACTCGACTTTTTCCTGATCTTCAAACCAAGCTCTATATATACCTTTCGTTTTCTCTTTCATGATTATGTAAGTAAACAGGATTTGAAACAAAGTAATTTAGGTGTTAATAAAAGTTGGTGATTTTTATGGTTACGAATAAAAATTGTTACAGTATGGCTTCAAAACTGCAGAATTTGTGTTTAATATCATAGTCAATGTGTAGATATTTTATAAGTTGGTTTTGTAAATCGTATGAAGATCAAGTTTGTTGTTTATAACTAGTGCACCTAGAAGTTTCTAAACTGATTTTGGCTTTTCAAAAATTTTAGACAAAATTACATAAATGGTCCATATAATTTACCAAAGTCATAGTTCAGACCCTAACTTAACTTTATTTTATTGACGTAAAATTTGCTTTTGCTTATTGCCTTAGTTGATACTCTAGAATTCATAAGCATTATCACTCATATTTTAAAGTTTGTAACTCTCCACTTAGAGATTCCATTGCATATATTTGATTGAAGTGATTCGATCAAATGTTATACCGTTATAAGTGGTTTATCTTGTAAATAAGAAAGTGTGATCTTGTAATATTGTTTGACTTCTACCTTTAAAAAACTTATATTTTAGTGGATCACGTCACATAGTGAATTCAACGAGGCAGATATTCGTTGTGAATTGATAAAAACTAGGAAAAGGTCCGTGCGTTGCACGAGTCTTTTTGGAAAAAAATAAAGGACAGAAGAATATGTTAGGCGAAAATGACAAAGAATAAAGGAAAAGATGTTGAATTTAGCAACTTTTTAGAAAACATGTGGCGGAAGTCTGAATGTTAAAAAGTTCGGGTTGATAATAGATGGAAAAAATATCAAAATAGAAGAGTGTTGGAAAATGGGAGGCTAAACTGTAAATGAATTAAAGAAACGAAGCATTTTTGGGAAAATATAAAAAACATATGATAAAAGTCACAAATAAATCTTTTTAGAAAAAAAAAATAAAAGGCAACAGACAAAAATGAAAAAAAAAATAAAGAAAATGAGTTGAATTTAACAACTTTTTAGAAAATATGTGGTGAAAGTCTGAATGTTAAAAAGTTTTAAGCACTTTTGGGAAAATAAAAAAAACATGTGAGTAAAATAAAAAATGAAGAAGGTTATTGTTCATTGTAAAATGTTAAAGTTTAGTGGCACTAATATAAAGAATCAGTGTAAAAAAATAAAAAAAAAATTTAATAGCAAAAATGTAAAGAAGTAAAAGTGAAGTGGCTAAATTATGAATTAGAAAAGGCTAGTCTTGAAATGCGCCATGCGCTTTAATATATATATATATATATATATATATATATATATATATATATATATATATATATATATATATATATATATACACTAGTGGTGTACCCGCGCAAAGCGGCGGACGACAAATAGTTTATTTTGGCAATTGGTTTTATTCTGAAACATTTTATATTTCAGGAAACAAAATGTAGATACATATTGTTATCCGTCATTGTGGCAACGAATAGTTGTAACACTCGCAATGCAAAGGAAAAAAATGCTTAGTATGCACAAGTTCGGGCCCTTAGTCGACACAACCTAAACGAGAATCGAAGGTCTCGTAAATAGTAGCACAACGGTAAAAAGTCTGACGAAAACGGACGTCGGATGAAGAAGTTATGAATTTTTAACGGATTTTCTGTCCCGGTTTGTTAAAAAATAATAATATAAAAATAAAGTCAAAATTTTCCGACGAAGTCTAAACGAAAGTTGTAGAGCATAATTTTCTCTACGCGTGCATATAAAGAACGTCAAAAACGGAGACCGTATGAGAAAGTTATGGATTTTACAAGATTTGGCACATTTTTCGAGAAATTTCGCATGGATTGGAGCTGGACACGTCACCCTCGCATGCGAGGCTTCCACGTGTCGGACACGTGTTAGCTGCTGATTGGGCCGCAGTACGCGTGTCACCCGCTGATTGGTCCGAAGTCGTCATAGGCGCCTCCTGATTAGACCGAAGTCCGGTCCTCTCCTAGTCCGACACGTATCGGAGGAGCCACCCTTCTCGCTTCTCCTTCTGACGCGTGGCTGCTGACTCGCCCCGTGTCCGAAGTGGTGGACCAATCCGAGCATCGCACCTGGCCTCCCTCGCATGCGCGCCACCTGCCCTCGCTGCTGCCACGCGCTTCGCCCCCTCGCTGCCGCGTGTCCCTTCTCGGCCGAAGCTCCGGATCTCCTCTCCTATAAATAGGAGCCTTGCGAACCCTCCCGGGTAAAAATGGGATTTTGCCATTTTTGACCCCTTTTTCCATATTTTTACTATCCCGACATCCCCCGAAGCCCCGGTACTTATTCCAAAGCCCGAAACACGCCCCGAGATTCTCGAGAAGCCCGAAAAATTTATCTTTTTCGGTTTTGAAGCCCGACCTTTCGCAGAGCCCGGTTTCTCAATAAAACTCCCGGTTTTATTAGAAACGATCGTTTTAGGAAACGAATTGCTGCCCGATTTTTTCATTAAATCAGGTGAGTGTGTACTCACTTTCATCTTACACATAGATATGGAGTATTTTATATAAAATAAGTGCTATGTGTATATATGTTGTTTGTTTATTCGAGATGGATGTTGAATGAATGTTTTATACATGTTTAAAATGATTTAAAATGTATATATATTTTATCTTCGAATATGTTGGGTAAAACATGGGTAGATAAAGTATGAGGGATAGAAGTACAGTATAGATGTACGTTGGTAGCTATGAATTTTGTACAGTATAGATGTACGTTGGTAGCTACGGATTTAGTATGTTGGCAGCTATGGACTTAGTGCCTGTTGTATAAATCTTGGCGACGATGTGACTTCGTGCCTATTAGATAAACCCTGGTGACGATGTGACTTCGTGCCTATTAGATAAACCTTGGTGACGATGTGACTTCGTGCCTATTGTATAAACCCTGACGACTATGAGACGTAGTGCCTATTGTATAAACCCTGGCGACTATGAGACGTAGTGCCTATTGTATAAACCTTAGCGACTATGAGACGTAGTGCCTATTGTATAAACCCCGGCGACTATGTGACGTAGTGCCTGTTGTATGAACCTTGGGCAGCGATGGACTTCGTGCCTATTCCTTAGGATGAATCCTTAGGAATGAGTGAGATTTGATTCTTAGGTTAAATCCTTAAGAAATAAATAAGATAATGGAGATTGGGTAATTGGGTTGATTGTTTGATGTTAAAGCATAATAAATTATTTATTGTGGGTTGAAAACCCTATATGCTCAACAGGCTCCCAAGTCTGACCCACTCAGTTTGTTTGTATCACAGGTATCGATACGAAGTTACTTTACACTGAGAGATTAAAAGAGATATAGATCACTAGTGTAAGTGAGTGTAAGTTCTGTTTATGCTTATGTTTCTGTATTGACGATGACATCACAATGGTTTAAGTGAATAAAATACATTTCTTCAGAAATGATTTGATAATATAATTATCATGTTTTTATGGGAACAAATTCCGCAACACCTTTTAAAATGATTACTCTGATTTTATTTTAAAAAGCATAAACGAAATCGGTCTTTTCTGGCCGAGAAATTAGGGGATGTCACACATATGACCTCGCAAGAGTCATCACCGATGACCTGGAAGTAAAACCTTCCCTTATTCGGACTTGTCCAGGTGACACTGGACTTATTCACATGCAAATATGGATGAAAGCGAGTCATGAACCAAGGTAAATGGCCCAAAAACAAAATTATTGTTTTGGGTTACGATCATAACTCTATTTATGTATGGTTTCAAAATATAATAAACTAACCGTTTTTGTTAAGAAAATTTGCATCAATGTTTTTGGTTTAATGTAAAAATATGTTGCTATTTTTGTGTTAAAAATAGTTTGTTCTTTTAAAAGTGTTGTTTTTTTGTTTAAAACAAAATTACGATTAATAAAATTTATCGATGTTATTTATTTATTATAAAAATAAGTATAAATAACTTTAAGTTTTTTTGTTAATGCTTATTAGAATTGAAAATTAGATTGTTAAGAGTTCGTTATGAAAGGGAGGTAACTTTATGTTAGGTTTTTTTTTTGGAACGGCTTATGTTAGGTTTTGAAAAAAATTAATTTGTTTATTTTTTGTTATTAATCATTATTATTTATATTCCGATAACTTTTGCTGTGATCAAATTTTTTCGCTTACGTATATTAATTGCAACAATGTTAAAATGAAAACCATAACTCATCAAATGAAATGACCTATAATTACTTAAAAGTCAACAGAATTCACTTCCACACGATCCTTGTTTTTTGTATGATATACCTGTAAACTTTTCCAGTTTTCCAATACTTGTTTCTTAAAATCCAGATCCTGTGGTAGAAAACACGCATATAGTACAATTAGAAGAGCTTTACCATCTATAAAAAAGGCACCGGTCACTTTCTTTTTCTTTCCATTCCTTTTTCTTGAATTTCCAATTCTCAATTAAATCAATACAACAAAAGACACAACTCCAATGCATTACATCTTGCTATGTGTACTCACCAATTTTCAACTTATCCACTTCTCGAAAAAAAATGATAAAAGCAAAAAAGAAGAATTTTTAGAGATTTTACAAAAACATTACGGCAATGCATAAGGAGTCAACCATGTGATTTTTCCCCTCACCTCCTACTTGAAAAATGATACATTTCAAAAGAGTAGTTATCTTGTTTCCAAATTTATGATGGAAACCTCATCTTTATGTTCCAGTCAATATGCATGTACAAGAATGACCTGGATGATGGCATTTGAAATCAATACACATTTTCTTTCAAAAACATTCTTTTTCTAATGATCATTGTATGCATCTTTTGGTTTACAGTAGTGTCAAAAAAGGAGTATTACACAACAATAAAAATTGGGATGAGATCATACGGTTACCAAGGGTAAAGTCGTCCATTCGCCCAATACCTCTCCAAACAACACCCCAACCCACCCGATCTCTTCCTTGTTTCCATTTCACTCCTCAACCTCTTTAAATCGCCGATCGATCCTTGTGTTTGTGTTTATCAGATAATACTCTGATCAGCAGTCTGGATATCTGTGTTTTCTGATGAATTAAGCTCTAAAAATGCCTACTTTTGTTCAAGATAGTAAGAGCTAATATGATTGTAGTCATACCGATTCCAAGAGG